TTCTTATGGAGCAGTGGTTCTCTTTAAAAATATAAAATAAAATAAATTTTAGTACTAAGAATATTTAAAATGCTATGTTGAATAATGAGATTCATCAGTTTGTAACATTATAACTGCTTTGTAAGACCTTTTTAGGCATGTGTTAGGTTTTTGTGAAAACTGTTTAAATGTCAGTTGTCTGTTTTTGTGTTAATTAAGCTATAGATTTGTTTTTTAAAATGTCCATGCATTCCTAAATGTCTCATGCGAAAACAAAATGGTCCCAGTTGAGAACCCTGTCCTAAGCCAACTAAACGAGTGAATTTTTATTATATATAAATTATATCTCAAACTTGATATTTAGGGAGAACTATGGTCACTTTTCAAGTGTTCTGGGCAACTAAGTGATTTTGAAAACCAGTAATTGGCATAATCAGTCATATATCCTCTCTCCTACATTACATTATCTCAAAAGTAATGAAGTAGCTATAAAAGGGATGAATTTGGGGGTCACCTCTATGTATTTTATGGCGTTGCATTTTATCACTCCTAGTTGCCATTAAAACTACTATTCATGGTCCTCCGTGGTGGCGCAGCAGGTTAAAGCCCAGCACTAAGAAGCTAAAGCTACTTCCGCATGAGTTCGATTCCCGCCTGCCCCGGAGGTGACCACATGGCGCAGCAGACTTCTCCTGACCCGCCCGCTGCTCCCCTCAGCAGTGTACTTTGTTGATCTGCCTGTTCTGCTCCCCACTCTCTCTGGTGAAGCCTCTCGCCGCCCCAGAGCCTCTGGCCTGTACCCCAGTTCTGTATGCACAAATAAATAAATCTTTTAAAAAAAAAACTACTATTCAGGGCCTCCCTGGTGGTGCAGTGGGTTAAAGCGCAGCACTGTGAAGCTGTCTGAAGCCACTGTAGCACCAGTTTGATCCCCAGCCAGGGAGCTGACCCACATGGCTCAGTAGACTTTTCCTGTCTCCCCACTGTCCCCCTCAGCAGTGGATTTTGGTCAGTCTGTCTGTTCTGTTCCTTACTCTGTCTCTGATGAAGCCTGTCACCCCCAGCACCTCAGGCCTATATCCCAACTCTCGTATGCATAAATAAATCTTTTTTAAAAAATTGACAAAAGACTTGAATAGATATTTTAAAATAAATTATTATTCAGGGTTTTTTTTCCCCCACTAATTTTCTGCCTCTAGTTCACTATGGGTTGGAAAACTACATTAATGTTGTTATTTACAAAAATAAAATACCATGTATTATGTACGAATCACCTATTTCTGCTACCTACAGATGTTTTTATTTCTTGATTTTTGGCCATATTTTGAATACCTGGTATTACTTTTGTATAATGTAATGGTGATAATGTTAACCAAGTATTTTGATTCAACATGACTGCATACACAACATTCTTTGTGATCTGAGATTTACTTCTCTAGAATAAATCTATAGTGTAAAATAAAACATGCTTAGAAAACCTAGTATACTTTTGAAATTTATTCTTAATGAATTAGAGTACAGAACACAGGTTCTCAAAGTGATTAAGAGTGCTGGGAAGGAAAAGCCTTGAAGGATCTTTTGAAGTGTATGGGGATCACCCTTGTGAAAATGATTTCATCTTACGCTATATTGCCCAAGGTTTTCCTCAGGGAAGAGTAGGGTGTTTTGTTTTGTCATGGTGGTCTGCTTGAAAGTTCCTGATTCAGTTACATTTACTCACTTTGAGGAAATGTTAATTGTGTGTAACTATCATAGCTAATTCTGAAACTGATGCTATAGGCAACCCTTGTGCAGGGAAAGACTGTCATTAACTGTCCCGATGGCTTGCTAGTTGTTTTCATTATGGGAAAGACAATCTTTAATTCATTGCTTAAGCAGCGCCACATATTCAGGTAAATATTCTCTTTCTTAAATTGTTATTTTACAAGGCTGGAAACAGATTTGGTCTGATGTTGACTTTTGGTGTTTCATCACTCTTGTTAAATGAAAGTCAAAATTGTTCATCTTATCTAACCCCTTTTTCAGTTTTCATGTATCGATTTTTTAAATCCTTTGAAATCATAGTGGGGGTTCAAGAGGATTCCTTCCCCCAAGATTTATTAATTATTGTGGCTCCCTGATGGCTGCTCCCCACTGCTGAGGGGAGTAGCAAGTGGGACAGGAGAGGTCTGCTGCGCTGTGTGGGTCACCTCTGTGGCGGGGGATGGAACTCGTTCTGCAGTGGCTGCAGACAGCTGCATAGCGCTGCGTTTAACCAGTGGCACCACCAGGGAGGCCCCAGCATGCTGTATTGTAGCTGTTCATTTTGTAAGAATTTGAAAGAGTTGGATATAGGGTTTTGAAAGTTCTAATATCTAATTATTTCTTTGTGCCGCTCTTTACTGATTTACACCCTGCCTTGAATATAATTCTTGTATTTCAAAGAAATAGAATTAGAGTTGCCACTTTCTAGCTGATTGGGACAAGGGAAACCTTAAAGAATAATGAATCAGTACTCAAAATTTAATGGAGTTTAATTTATCTTGACAAATCAACCTAACGTGTATATGTACCATAGCTTCATCTGATCTTATTTTTAAAAATCCCATGATAGATAGAGCTACCAGATGCATAAATTTCTCTTCTGTAGTTAGTTTTGGTAGATATAAATTTCTCTTCTGTAGTTAGTTTTTGGTAGATAACCAACAGCCATACCAATATCCTGTCTTACTGCTGATCTTGGGCTTATTTGACAGGATAAATTCTCGATCCCCACTAGGGGGAGCTCTCACTCAGTAATTTGTATGGTGCTTACGGCCATTGGAGTAAACATTGGACGTTGATGCTTGTCTTACTCCATGATTCCTTAGTGTGGTTCCCCCCAGCATGTTTTCCTAATAATACTAGCTACAAATTGCTGTGTGGTAGGTACTGCGCATTTTGTTAAGCACCTTCACGTGTATTACTGCATTTGGTTTATGAAATCTGTAGCTCTATGAAATTGATAATATTTCATCCCACTTTTATTGATGGAGAAATGGGGTACTAGAAAAATGAAGTTACTCTCACTGTCTGGAAACTAATCAAATTGTGATACAAGGATCTAGGTCTGTTTTATTCCAAAAACAATTCGTTTTTCTAAAAGATTTAATTTTACTTAACTAATTCATAAAAGAACTGGAGTGTAGGCAAGAGATGTGAGAGGATTCACCGGAGACAGAGTGGGGAGCAGAACAGGCAGGGCTGCTGTGCCCTGTGGGTCACTCCCTGGCCAGGGATTGACCTCAGGCCTTTGCAGTGACAGTATTGACACTTAAGACCTAGGCCAACAGGGAGGTCCAGGAAAAAAATTTTAATCAAGTCTAGAAAAACTTAAAATACACTGCTTATTGTGATGTTAAGTATTATTTATAAAACTTTTTCAATTAGGTATGTACGTAATAAGTTACAATGTCAAGCTATATTTTTAGTTGTTGATAGCACATTTAAAATGTTTGAAAACGGGCCTCCCTGGTGGTGCAAGGGGTTAAGTCTCAGCTCTTTGAAGCTATCTGCAGCCACTACCAGTAGGAGTTCCATCCCTGGGCCAGGGAGCCACCCACATGGTGCAGCAGACCTCCCCTGAGTTGACCTCTGTTCCTCTCAGCAGTGTGTTTCAGTGGACCTGCCTGTTCTGCTCCCCACTCTGTCTCTGGTGAATTCTCTCATATACCCTTCTTCCCCCAACCCCCACACCTTGGCCCATCCAGTTTTGTATGCATAAATAAAGTAAAAATCTTGAAAATAATAATGTATGAAACATGGCTTGCCCTAGAACTTTGTGGAATTTATATATTTTAACAAGTGCAGAAATTATAGTGATTTCACAGTTTATCTTTAAAAGCAAATGACATATTAGAATGAGGTCCATTTTATATTTTCTTCTTTTATATTGTATTCTGAATAGCACCCAGGTCTGAGTCTAAACCTTCTTGGGGTATATAGCTAGCTATAACAGAATTAACCTTGATCTCAGTTGTTTTCTCCCCCTTGTGTCAAAATTTATAACAGACATGTACTTCTCCCTGCAGAATACTCAACACAGTGTTTTTCTTATTTCAGAAAGTTTCCCCTCAGGTTTTATATGGTTTCTAGTTTGTAACTCCAAACTCTTATTTATACTTGGTTGATTCCACAGAACTTTAGCTAAGGGTTGAATAAGAGATTCATTAGACATCTTCCTGTTACACTACATAGCCTGTCATTCTTTCTAATGGGTTTGTAGTAAACCCTACATCAGTTTATTTAACTAGTTCCTTAATAGTATTCATTTAATTATTTTCTGTTTTTAGAATAGGCTGTATTAACATTGTTGCTTATTTTGGTCTACTGATGAGTATATCCTTAGTATATATCCTTGACCTTCAAAGAGGTTATACTAATTTATCACTCTTTGTATAGAAACCCCTTTTCCCCATACTCTTAATGATGCTCTGCACTATTAGAATTATAATAATCTTAATAGGTAACCTTTTATAGTCTTATAGGTAAAAATTACAAAAGTCCTTTATAAATGAGTTGGATTGTTAAATCAGGTGAGATTGGCCGTATTTTCATATATTTATCAACTTGTATTTTCAGTGATACTTTTTTTTTAAGATTTATTTATTTATGCATACAAGAACTGGGGTACAGAGGTATGAGGGTAAGAGTATTCACCAGAGACAGAGTTGGGGGGCAGAACAGGTAGATCTACTGAAATCCACTGCTGAGGGGAGCAGCGGGGAGACAGGAGAGTTCTGCTGCATCATGTAGGTCAGCTCCCTGGCCGGGGATCAAACTGGTGCTACAGTGGCTGTGGACAGTTTCATAGTGCTGCGCTTTAACCCCTGCGCCACCAGGGAGGCCCTCAGTGATGCTCTTGAAGTTCAAGTATGGAAAGTATCAGTGAATATACTTTAAAGCTTTCAAGAAATGGTGCTGTAAATGTGAGATGTCACTGAAAAGCCTGCAGCTAACCCTCCCATATTTCCCATCTTGATTTTTGACTCTTTTCATTTTAGGTGATCATGGAGCTCAGCTTGGCCTCCACGGGCCTGGTGGTGATGGAATACATGACGACACAGCAGGTGGAGAGGAAGGAGAGAACAGCCCGGACCCCCAGCCCCAAGCTGGTCGGAGGAACCGGCGAGAAGCATGCACCTGCCCTTATTGTAAAGACAGTGAAGGAAGGTGAGTTGATTCACTTTGTTTCTTAAGAGTATAAAGAAAAAAATGTCATGGATTTGGAGGTCCAGAGAGGGTTAACTTTTTTTAACAGTTAAGACTTGGCAGCTCTGCGCGGGGCAGAAGTAAGCCAGTGTTGACTGGGTTGTACTACGGCATCTCGGTGCCAGCTCAGATTCACTCATTAACCACATTGGGCTGTAACAGGCGCCTTCTTTCTCCTGGAGATAAGGGAGTCAGATGGAGATGGCGAGTCTCACCATTGTTACCACGTCTGTTTTAGGACGGTGTTAATATGATTGCTTATAAAATAGCTTACCAAGAAAGAAGCATATCTACTTTCACACACTGAGTGTGTGAAAACCTTTAAGAGATTTTTAGATCCTTGTTTTTCCCCTCACAATAGACACAAATACTAGTACTCCATGTAGGGAATACTTCCACTAGGAAATCTGAAGTACCGGTAGAACCAACTTCTGGCAAAATTTCTCATTAGTAGCACTTGTTATTTAATACTATCTCTGCAGAGTTCTAAGTTTTACTATTTTTTCCTTCATATCACTTTTTGAAAGAGAATAGAAAATAACATTTTTAATGCTTTTGTAAATGTCCCAGCAAAAATAAGCACAGAAATAAAAATAAAGAAAACCACCAAAACAAAAATAATTTTGAGATTTTTGGGCCTCTCTCATGGCCTAGGGTAAAGTATCAGCTTTTTCACTGCTATGGCCTGAGTTTGAGCCCTGCCCAGGGAGGTGACCCACGTGTGACACAGCACACCTCTCCTGTCTTGCCCACTGTTCCCAGCTATCTCTGGTGACTCCTCTGACCTCCCCCCACCAACACACCTCTGGCCTATACCCCAGCTCTTGTATGCATAAATAAATAAAGTAAATCTTTAAAAAGAAATGGTTCCTCTTGGAAATCTCCCCAGTACTCTCTAGTGGCTCACACATGGAGTAGGTTGGCTTGGTAAGAATATTTCAGAACCAGTTTGAGAGAGGTGCTTGGGATTTGCTCCATGTGAGGGATGTGTTTGAATATACTAGAATTCGTAATAGTTCTCATTCCCCTCCTTTAACTTTTAGCCTACTTGTATTCTTCTTCCACTGAAGTCTCTGATACTCCTTCAGTTTTTCAACTTTTAGACATCACTATTTGGGTCTTGATCTTTATTTTATGAGGAGAGTTCTCAAGTACTATATTTTCTGTGAAGCTTTCCACCAACAGCTTAAATGGAAAGACACTTTATTCTCATTAAGTAAGTTCATAGCCCAAAATACTAACATAGTGACGGTAATTCCCATGAAAAATGTTTGTATTTGGGACTAAAAATTCCTGAAAAATAAAAGAAGCAGATGTCATAAGTCACCATGAGAGATAATCCCTCTCCAAAAGCCAAACATTGAAACTGATTAAGGAACCAGAAAGGACAAATAACCAGTAGACAGAAACCTACAGCTTTAATTTTGGTTATTAAAAACCAGAATCAGCTAACAATGTATGTTTTTAAAGCTTTTATTTATTTTTTTAATTTATGCTTGTAAGAACTAGGGTATAAGCCAGAGGTTTGGGTTGAGAGGATTCACCAGAGACTTAGTGGGGAACAGAACAGACAGGTATACTGAAATACAGTGTGCGAGACAGGAGTAGTCTGCTGCCCCATGTTGGTCACTCCCTGGCCGGGTTGGAACTCTGGCTGCAGCTTGAGTTAGCTTGAAATAGCTTGATAGTGCTGAGACTTTAACCTCTGAGCGACTGGAGAAGCCCTACTAATGATGTATGTTTTGATACTAAAGAAAAGACTTAAAAAATTAAAAATTTTAGGTAGTTTTAAGTGCATCAGATAATTACTGCTGACATTTTGTTTTTTAATTTCTGAATGAGAAATAATTGTGTTTGCATTTTCAGGGGTTCTGGGGATCCTGGTAAAAAGAAACAACACATCTGTCATATCCAAGGCTGTGGCAAAGTCTACGGCAAGACCTCACACCTACGGGCACACTTGCGCTGGCATACAGGCGAGAGACCGTTTATGTGCACCTGGTCATATTGTGGGAAACGTTTCACACGATCGGATGAATTACAGAGGCACAAACGCACACACACAGGTGAGTGGGAACATGAGGAAGAGAAAATATCAACACAAGGCTGTACCTACAAAATAATGAGAATGTCTGAGCATCGTACATATGAATTGAATTTATGAATTACAGCTGAAATAGAAGTTAATCTGGAAAATGAGTAAGCAGGAACCAAGTTTTGAGTGGACTTTTGAAGGTGGACCATTGGTGTCAATTTTTTTTTTTTTCTTTAAGATTTTTATTTATGCATCGAACTGGGTTGTAGGCCAGAGGTACAGAGAGAGAGGATTCACCAGAGACAGATTGGGGAGCACTCAACTGAAATAGACTGCCGAGGGGAGCAGTGGGCAAGACAAGAGAGGTCTGCTGCACCCTGTGGTCACCTTCAGGGCAGGAATCGAACTCATGCTGCAGTGGCTGCGGCCAGCTTGCAGTGCTGCGTCTTAACCTGTTGCTTCGTCAGAGAGGGTCCCCTGATGTCATTCTTAATCTTTTCTTCAATATTCCTTCCTTTCATGCTTTCCAACCCTTACTTATTTTTCTTTCCTGCAAAAGCAAACGGTACTCACCAGGTTTTTCTCATTTTTGCTTCCTGAGAGAGACTGTTGAAGACTCATAAATTTGAGGGCAGAGAGACTGGGCTAGGTGCCCTACTTCCTACGATGCCAGTGTCTTACCCTCTGCCTTTGCCTTTTCGTAGGTGAGAAGAAATTTGCCTGCCCTGAGTGTCCCAAGCGCTTCATGAGGAGTGATCACCTGTCAAAGCATATCAAGACCCACCAGAATAAGAAAGGAGGCCCAGGTGTAGCCCTGAGTGTGGGCACTTTGCCCCTGGACAGTGGGGCAGGTTCAGAAGGCAGCGGCACTGCTACCCCTTCAGCCCTGATTACCACCAATATGGTAGCAATGGAGGCCATCTGTCCAGAGGGCATTGCCCGTCTTGCCAACAGTGGCATCAACGTCATGCAGGTGGCGGATCTGCAGTCCATTAATATCAGTGGCAATGGCTTCTGAAGTCAGGCACCCAGGGCCAGAGACACATGGGCCATACCCATCACCCCTGGGATGCACATTAGCATGGGTCCAAGAGACATGTGGGAGAGAGAGCCATAAGGCATTAAAATGCATGGTGGTGGGGAGAGTTGGGGGAGGGACGCAAGAGAAGAGATGGGGTCCTGGCACCCACCTGTATCATCAGTACTTTCTTGACGTGGGAACCTTTAACGGCAGTTCTGTTGGTGCCACTTTTGAGCATTTGTTGACCCCCTCAGTTTCTTCTTACACAATTCTTGCCCCAGCTTCTCCTCCTGCATTTCCCTTCTCAGCTCCCCCATGATGGATCCTCCCCTTTTCCTAAAGCCATCATGCCTTGATAAATATATATGATCATTGAAATACTTTTTAACGAAAAACAGATTCTATATTATATATATATAAATATATATATATAAAAGATATATAGAGATGCATTCACCAGGGGTTGACTGGGAGGAGGAAAGAGACCATTCTGTGACCAAAAAACCTTGGTCAATTTTTATATTGCCTTATTTCCCTATGGCTGAGCCTTGTAACACATCAAGCGTTTCCGTAGATGTTGTCTTGGCTTCCCACCAGATTAAGCATTCATATGCTGTGCTTTTAGTTTATATATATATACATACATAATGTTTTTCCTCTTAATTTTGTCTTTATTTGGGATCAGCTTCTTGCACTCCTTTCCTGACTCAACCCATTTTGTCTCCTCTCACCTGATCACTTCATGTTCTCTTTTTGGTAATGATCCCTGGATGAGGCACTTCTGTCACTCTTTTTAAAAGTCTTTTGTCCCAATGGCAGTGGAAAAAGCTCGGAAGCCCAAGCTGATGCTCGGGGTAGCTGTGGAGAGTGTTCAAAATACTACTGACGCAGGCACCCTCTTGGCGCTGGAGAGTCTTCTCATTGGCTGCTCTAAGCATCAGAAATCAGAAGTCTTTCTGTGGAGCTGTACAAGAGACCCTTTGAAGGTGGTGGTCTGGAATAAACTGTCAGAAGATGGTCAGTTATTAGGTAGGGGTCATCAGCAGGAAAATGATGTGCTCAGAAGCTCAAGTGACTTACTCGGGTTCAGGAGGTAGTGGAAGATTTGGACTTTCTGTACAGCCATCTTTCCAGGTGGCGCTAAGCTTTGATGTGTGGGCTTCTGAGTTCACAGTCTGAAAGGAAACCTATTGCCTCTCTTGAACATCCCCGGTAGTTTCTTCCTGTCATGTTCTTAGGGAGCATCAGCCAGTGGCATTGTTCCTGGTTTCCCTTCTGCAGAACTCCAGCGCGCCTGCCAGTGGCAAGACGGTGGTCTTTCACCTTTTCCCTCAACTCCTTTTAGGGGGTTCCTGAGGGAAAGGAAGCACACAATTGTGGGAATGAGAGCCCAGAACAAGCAGAAATCTTGTCTTACCACTGTGGTTTATAGGAGAGATCAGGAGAAATCTTTCTCTGTGGCCTGATTCCTGAAGAGACTATTCCAAAAATTATAGCGGCAGGGAACTCTTAGTGCACTTGGCACCGAGATTAAATACAAGCAGAGCTGTTCTCCAGGCCCAGCCATTAAAAACTGTCTCTCTCGACCTTCTGATGTCTTGTCAGAGAGCTTTCCACTGTGAGGAAGTGTGGAAACAGCCGTGTGGATGTATGTAATCTGTTAGGTTGGGGATAGGGTTTTCTGTTAGCCGATACTAAAGGAGACCTGCAATAAAAAATTACCCTGATCTGATAGAAAGTGAAGTGTTCGTGTATGGCTGTGTGCGAGTGTGCGTTTGTGCCTGTTCGTACTTACACACAGATGAGAAATTATATTTGAAATTGTGAGAGAATAAATCAAATTCAGATAAAAATGCCTTTCAGGCCTGTTACCTAGAAAAATACCTTAAAACCCGGGTGTGTTTCTGAGGTCATTTCTTTGCCTCTTCTGAAACCAATGGCAATTATGAATGGGGGGATATTCTACACTTTAAGAGAAGAAACTATTTTTGTGTTTGAACGTGAAACCATCATCCAGCTCTAGAGCAGAGTCCTGTTCCCTTTCTTTTTATTGTGACTACAAATAGATGATGCTTTGATTCTGTATATTTTATATAAAATCTATCCAAATTAGGGCTTAGGTAAGTTTGTGTTGTTACTTAACCTGAAATCTAGTAACTGTTCATATTCTAAATAGTGGTTCACTCCATTTGGTCCTTTCTCTGCGGACATAATACTGTTTTTAATACTCAGGAACTATTGCAAGGAACTTCCCCCAGATCAGATTTTGTTAATACTGAAGTAAAAGTCATCCATGCCCCGCCACTTGGCTCTTCCTCCAGTTGAAAGGCAGAACTCAAAGATGTTACTTTACGTCATGATCATGTACATAGCGTCTTGGAGGAAAAGGGTGCAGTCTCTCACTCAAGTGTGCAGTATTTTGCTAGAACGTTTCCAGGAATGGAATCTTCTTCATCTGAAATCGGTAGCTGCCAGCTTGATGCTGAGAACTAGGAGCCTTCAGAAGGTGATTGACGCTGTCTCTCTGGAATGGTACTGCTTAACCCTGAACGCCCTTCATTTGCCGTTACTGCCAATGAGTTTGTCTAGTCCTCTCCACTTGTCCAGTTTCCTTCTCACTGTTGAAGCTTCCAAGCCCGCGTCTTGTTTGACCCCAGGCTGAGCTGCTGCGAGGCTCCCGCAGCAGTGAGCCTCGGTCTGCACAGGAAGGCCAGGCCAGAGCCCACATTCCTTGAGTTGGGAGCTTCTGCCTGCAGACCCCTCTCCCCGAGCTTTGGGCTGGCAGAAGTAATGCCACTGACAGGCATTTGATGCTGACATTATTTTCATGAGTTGCTTTTTTATTTAATTAAACATGTTTTTGGACTTAGCAGGGCAGGGAATGCCCAGAGGTAGGCGTGTCGGAGCACTCATTTGCTTGCCGGTCGGGGCTCCCCTGGGGCTCCCCTCCCCTCGGACCTGTCTGTCATATGACTGTCTGACTTGTCACCCAGAGCAATAACTATCCGTGCCAGCTGCCTTCAGGGACCTCCCGTCTGGCACTCTCTGTGGGTGCTTTACCGAATACATTGTAATGGATTATTTCTCAGCTTGGTTCAGAATAATTAGAACCCTTGATCCCAAAAAGTATAGATTGAAATGTGGGGTAAAGATTATGATTGGGGGAGGGTTAGAGACAAAAGCTGTAAATTACTATGGCTGATTGATTTATTTCTACTATATACATATATATATATTTTTTTTGCTTTTGTATATCCTATATAGGAAACTAAGCATTGTATTTTTTTAACAAATCTGAGAAAGCACTATGAACTGCAGATATTTGACTTTCAGAATATATTTTGTATTGTTAATAGCTTCACTGTGTGTGAATACTGGAAGCTGCAGATCTTTGCTAGGGCGCAATACATTTATACACTTTTTGAGAGGTTCTTCCGGGGGTATTAATCAGGCCCCCATTATGCTTTGGGGGAGCCCTGGTGCTACTTACTTTTGTTCAATTGCAAAGACCCTGATGCCTTTTGGACCTTAGGATCAGATCAAGTGAGTTTTGGAGATCCAGGTTCCAGGGAAATGCGGATGGTCTAGTAGCCTCTAGTGAGCAGCATCCACGGAGCTCCCCCTCCCCCGTTCAGAGCGGGGTGGCCTCTGGGGACTGGGAGGAGAAATGTGAAGTCTGTTTCATCTCCCTTAGAAGAGAGCCAGGAGCTTGGGCTGGGATGAAAGGTGGCAGCAGTAGTTCTGGATAAAGGGAGGAGGAGATGGCTCCTCTCCAGCCCCGGAAAACAGTGCTTTTGAAGCCGCTGATAAAGTCGGGCAGGTTATTACTTTGGTTGGGAGCCTGTGCTCTCCGGGCGCCTCCCTTGGCCCTGCTCCTAGGGTGCTGCCTAGGAGCAGGAGCAGACCAGCTTTGAGGCTGCCTTGTTTTTCTTTGTCTGCCTTCCCCAAGCACCATCCCCCAGGAGGACATTAAGCAGCCTTAAGATGGAATCCGACTCCCTCTTCCAGACCCGGCTCACTTGCCTTAGATGAAGGCTGGGGAAGGATAAAAGGGGAATCCTTGACTTCCATCCTCCCCTGGGGCTCCTGGGTCTGGCTTGCCCAGACCCACACAGGGTTTCCTCCATAGCTTTGATTTGAGAGCGACTAGTATTTTCCTTGTTATCAAACCCCAGCCAACCTCATCTCTGCTAGAGCAGAGGAGGGCCCAGCAGTTACCTTTAGTGACAGAAAACTACTTAACAAGTGGGGTTAAACTGGGGCTGCAGGTAAGACTCTGTAGATACCTCTCCTGGGCGGGGCGGGGTGTCCCCCTCCAGGAATTCTATACTGTGCCTTCTCCACAGAGAACGGGCTGTGTCTGCCCAGCCCTCCGCTTCCAGGCAGCTGCTCTTCAACAGTGTGGACAAGGGCAGGTCTTCACAGCCGGTCACCCCTCTCTCCCAGCGGTGTCCCATAGCCCTCACCTTAGTCTGGGCGCATGGACTTGCGAGAAGATGGGAGTGATGCCGAGGTTGACCTGAGGAGACCCCTTCCCAGCACACCAGTGGCAGCCGCCCCCAGGGCTGCTGCCTCTTCCCCAGCAGCCATCCGAGGGGCGGGCAGTGCCCCTCTCTGGTGCCTAAAACAAGTTTGTTTCTCAGCTGGCAGTAACCAGCCTCCTTACCACTGATGCCTTTTGGATTCCTTATAACCCCACACTGTATTTGTTGTTGGTTCAAGCCGATCATCACCAGGGCTTTTGGGGAATACTTCTATGCTCTCATCTTCTTGCTCCCACCCCTGATCTTGTGTCTGTGATGCTAATCTCTGATCTCTCAGCCTCCTCCTCTTCCTTCCTTGTCTCCTCTCCCCATACCTTTTGTCTCTGGTGTTTTGGGGCTATTTTTTTTTTTTGGCCTTTTTGTACAAAGATTAGTTTCAATGTAGTCTGTAGCTCCTTTGTAAACCAATTAAAAAAGTTTTTTTTAATAAAATGCCATGTCTCCTGTGTTGAGAAGGTTGGGGATGGGGGCAGGGGAGGTGTTACGGTTATAACTTCATATACTGAACCTATCGAAGACCCCTGCTGTGCTGGGCCTCACACGTGTTCAGCACAGTGGCCCTGCTCTTAGCTCCCATAAACAGTTTCATGGCCACGTGTGTCATGACGACCTAGAAATGTGAAGGATCAAAATGAAGAAGGCAGTACCAACATTGATGTCTTGTTTGAGAATACCGCTAAAGAAAAACAGCAGACAGTACAGTTTGGTTACCAGTTTTTCTTAATTACTTTGCTTACTTGACTTCCCTGTGTCTCCTCTGCCAGTCACTCAGCCATGGATAAACTTAAGTCATTTGATTCCTTATGTAGCTATTAACAATACATTTAAACATTTGACTTTACTGGGGAGGTGGGAGGTGGGATTTTTTGTTGGTTTGGTTTGGTTTTGCAACCTTAAATGAACCCTTAATAACTGTCATTTATCCAATAAACATTTTTAAAGGGCTTATTTATTTATGCATAAAAGAACAGGGGTATAGGCCAAAGGTGTGTGTGAGGATTCATCAGAGGCAGAGTGGGGAGCTGAACAGGCAGACCCACTGAAACACAGCTGAGGGGAGCAGTGGGTGGGACAGGAGAGGGCTGCTGTGCCGAGGGTCCCTCCCTGGCCGGGGATCAGACTGGGCTGCAGTGGCTGGAGATAGCTTGATTGCACTGTCTTTAAGCCCTGTGCCACCAGGGAAGCCCCTATTCAATAAATAGTTGTTGAGCCATTACTGTGTGCTGAGTACTTGAGGGTAGAGAAGACTACCACCAATTATTTCATAGTCCGGTGAGGGAGACACATACCCCGAATTACAAGTTTCCCGATTATGACCTCATTCTTGAGCAAATGATTGCCTTCCTATTTCATGGAGAAGATGGTAGGATAGATTTCCTCAAAGTTCCCTCTCCGGAAAAACTTCTTGTATCCTCACCTTACTAATTTACTCAGAGAAATTTTATATTTCCTTTGCTAGACCAATTTTGCCACTTGGACTCTCACCTTATTTTCTTTGACTTTTTTTTATTTGTTCTGTGTTTTGAGGATATTTTATCCTTTTATCTTTGATCTTTTCTGGATCCACTTTTGTTGGCTTGTGAGCAGGTTAAAACTCTCTTCCCCCATTTTGAAATACCTCTTCCTCTTCTAGCTAGTGCTCTAGTTCTTACAGTTCTTTTCCATTTCCCAAGTTAGTGAAAGCAGTTTATATTCACCTTTCTTTTCCCTTTCCTCATTCCTCAGGTGAGTGCGTTCAGCACCCATCAGTTACCAAACTTTTTCACAACATCAGTGACGTGGCTGCCAGTGTCAGTGGTCTTGGTCCTTAGCCTCCCATACCTCATCTTTTTTTTTTTTTTTCTGCATACTGGAAACTAGGGTACAGGCCAGAGGTGCATGGGCGATGAGAGAACTCAGCAGAGAGAGAGGGGAGCAGAACAGGCAGATGGACAAAGTACACTGCTGAGGGGAGCAGCAGGGAGACAGGAGAGGCCTGCGGGGCCCTCTGGGTCCCTCCCTGGACAGAGATGGAACTCGTACTGCAGTGGCTGCGTCAGCTTTATAGTGCTGCGCTTCAACCCCTTGCGCCACAGGGAGGGCCCTGGTCCTCATCCTAAAGCTTTCTTCCCACAGATTGTGAAACATACTCTCTTCTCCTTCTGTCTTAATTTTAGTCTCCCATGGCCACTTCTTTTCCTTAAATGTTGATACTCAGTCTTGTGTCCTTCCTCCCTCTTTGACAGCATCCTTCCCCTTAAACAAGTCACATCTGCTCTGTAGCCAGGTTGGTAACTGCAGTTCCTGAGCCCTAATTTTTCTCCGAACCAGGCCGTCTACTTAGCATTTTCGTGTGGCTGTCCCACAAGTAACTTCAACAACACGTAAGGAAATAATCCTTCGTGTTCCTCTTCACTTAGCAGTATTGCTGCCCTGGATCACTAGTGCTTGAAACCTCAGTATCAGCCTTTAATTCCTCCTTTTATCTACCAACATCCATTTGATGACCAATACAATGGATCTCAATTCCACACACCACCCCCCCTTTTAATTTTAACGTCCACTGCTCTGGTATTCACCTTGGCTACTAGTTAACATCTTTCCTGCTCTCCTTTCTAGTCTTTCTGCAGCTCAGACTTCTCCCATCTTCCACAAGGCCACCCAACTCCTTACCAAAATCTTTTGTTTTTAGCAAGTCTAAGCTCTTTGATAGAGAAAATCTTTGCAATTTGGTCAGTCACTTCTGGGGTGATTTTCTGCATTGTATTTCATCCCTCTTCCTCCCATTGCCCCCCCCCCACCTCACCACACACTTTGTATTCAGACCTTTATGCCTCTGTTCTCCTGCCCCCTTTGCCTGTGATAATCACCCTCTTTTTATTTGTTACCAGTGTGTTTACCTTTGAGACAACTTAAATATCCCTTTCTCTGAAACCCTCCGGGCAGCTTTCTTCCCTAGTCTTCTGTGACCTGATTAGCTTTATTTGCTCTGTCTGCTTGTATGGCTCCTTGTTCAAACCCTAGGTCTACATACAATCCTCTGGTTGCTTGTTGATGCATGCCTGGAGGGCAGACATCATTCACATCTTCATACCTAATGAAGTACTTTCTAAAGACTGGGACCTACTCTTTTCTGCTTTGAGTGATTAACTCACTTTAGCCTGGTAGTCAGCTGCTGGGTCAAAGATACAGTTTCAGCCCACTGCTTACTGGAATTATGTCCTAATGAACATCTTTGGGGAGGGGGTCCTGAACTCTCTGCTCTGCTCATTTCTCAGGACCTTCCTGACCTCAGCTTTCATATTCTTACCCCTCTTATCACCAGCTGGTCTCTCAATTCTGCTGCCCAGCACAGTATAGTTCTATAACCCCGCTGGAATCTCTCTTGGAGAGCATTTTACCCGGTTTGGGTGAGGAAACTGCCTTTCTGCCTGATCCTTAGCTTCCCCACTTCTGGAGGAGACAGTCTCCTGAGACACTCCAGACACGAGATGCTATATGATCTTCAGCCCCTCCGCCCCCACCCTTTATCTGATCTGGGAGCTGGTGGAGGGAAATAGCTGGAACTAAGTGCGGCATTCCACCTCCCTGGGGCGCTGCGCTCAGGAAGACCCAAGGAGAGATGGGCAGTTGTCCATCTACCTCTAGCTAGCCCTGGTCACCCCTGCTCTGTCACAGCGCGGGGGGGGGGGGGTCCCAATCTTTTATGCAGCCTCTGCTGGAGAAAATCTTCAGAGTTAGTACTCAGACCCTGGTCCCTGGTCTAAATCAGACCATTCCCAGAAAGACTTTCCAGGCAGCCATCACGAAGACAAAATGCTAGGAAAACTAGGAATATTCGCCTGGGATGCGGAGGCTTATGGGGCCAGCTGCTCACAGGTGGGAAATAATCACCTCTTAGTGTCCAGGCAGGCGTCTGGATTGAACTGTACCTGTATCGCAGCATCAGTTGGAGACCTGCCCATCCCCATTGCTTCCACACACCCTAGGCCCTCTCCACGTTTTGCAATTCTGCAGTGTCAGAGGACAGTTCTGGCTGTGGCCATTCCTCACCAAGAGGCGGCTCTTCCTGCCCCTGACTGGCCCTGAATTTCGTCTATGCCTACTGCCCTCTGGCGGTGATAGTCTGAACTGTAGCCGACCTGCCGGCAGGCAAGGATGTATCTTTTCTCAACCACCCAAATTCCAATATCCAAATACTATGTTAAGTAGAAATACACTTGATTGCTGAATTTTGTATTTGTTTTCAGGTACCCTGGAATAATGCAAAGGCCAGAACCTGGACTTAATCAGACTTAATTCAGTCACACTTCATCTAGGTAGAAATGTCAGCTCTGTCATTATCTAGTAAAGTATCCTCAAGCAAGTTGCTCTAAACTCAATTTTCTTACCTATAAAGTGAAGGTGATAATCAATAGCTCAATGACAGAATTACACAAGATGCATAACCCTAACTTTGCACAAAGGTGCTCAATGAAAAGGTGTCATCTTCTCAATAATGGTGACTTTTTAAACGTAGAGAAATTTTACAAAGCCTTCTGACTCTTCAGCTTGGAAACTGACGCCAACTGCAGCATAGGGGCCTGGGTGGTGACGCCTACACCCAGAGAGCTGCAGGCTGTGCCCTGAAAATGCGGGCTGGACGGGGCCTCGGGCACCACCGAGCGGCTCAGAGACTCTGGCCTCACGTTGGCTTCCCGCCTGGGACCCAGCACCTTCTTCCAGGGCCAGGAGAGGGCAGAGGCTTGAACTCAGGTTCCACTGGGTTCTCAGGGGGGGCTCCGAGACCCCCTCCTACTTTGCAGGATAAGAGGAGGTGACTGAGAGCAGGACGTGAGCGAGGTTCTCTGCTCCGCCTTCTCCTTTTCTCCACACACCCACCTCTCCCACACAGGCGTCTCCCCCACAGAGACTGGGATAAGGGCGGAAGGCGGAGTTGGGGACTGGGATCAGAAGCCCCACAGTGCCCTGAGGGGTCTGAGGAGGCTCTGGCGGGCAGCTGCGTTGGCTCAAGCTGTCCTGCTGCGGTGGCCTCCTACAGCACGATGCTGGGGACTCTGGGGGTCTGGGTCCTGCTCCCCACAGCTGTGCGAGGTAGGTGTCGAGGGCACCGTCTGGCCACTCACCCACTGAGCGAAAAGGGCTCCGGGAGCGGCAGCCAGCCCTTTGGGAGAGAGTGGTGAGTGGGGTTGGTGAGGCGCAGCTGTGCGCCCCCGTTGTGGGGGTGGGGTGGGGGGGAGGGGGGCCAGCCTGTGCTGACCCCCGTCTTCCTGAGGCTGTACCTCGCTGGCCCTGACGTGAAACATGTGCTGCGTCTGCTTTCACTGCTGCTTTTGCCATTACGTTCACTCTCTTCTTGAACCCCCCACCGCCCGGGGCCTCAGCACCCCCAAGCAGACGGACCTGTGCCTTCTTTGAGGCCCCCGGAGTGCGGGGAAGCACACAGACCCTGGGGAAACTGCTAGAGGCAGGACCAGGGCCGCCCAGGGCTATCCGCTGCTTGTACAGCCACTGCTGCTTTGGGATCTGGAACCTGACGCGAGACCAGGCCCGGGTGGCCATGCAAGGTGAAGGGCTGCGCCCCGCCGCACCCCGGGTGGTGAGGGGGCTGGAGGACGAAGGGAAGGTGTGGGGGAAGGAAAACCTGTGGGGATAATAGGTGGAAGAGCTGCCTCTGATGGAGGACGGATTTTTTTTAAAGATTTATTTATTTATGCATACAGAACTGGGGTGCCAGAGCATACAGAACTGGGGTATAGGCAGAGCATACAGAACTGGGGTGCAGCCAGAGCATATAGAACTGGGGTGCCGAGCATACAGAACTGGGGTACAGGCCAGAGCATACAGAACTGGGGTGCCAGAGCATACACAACTGGGGTATAGGCAGAGCATACAGAACTGGGGTGCAGCCAGAGCATATAGAACTGGGGTGCCAGAGCATACAGAACTGGGGTGCCAGAGCCTACAGAACTGGGGTACAGGCCAGAGCATACAGAACTGGGGTGCAGCCAGAGCATATAGAACTGGGGTGCCAGAGCATACAGAACTGGGGTGCAGCCAGAGGTGCAGGGGCAGTGAGAGGCTTCACCAGAGACAGAGTAGGGAGCAGAACAGGCAGATAGACGAAGTCCACTGCTGAGGGGAGCAGCGGGCGGGTCAGGAGAGGTCTGCTGGCCCTGTGGGTCACCTCCGGGGCGGGCGGGGATCGAACTCATGCTGCAGTGGCTTTAGCTTCTCAGTTCTCAGTGCTGTGCTTAAGCCGCTGCGCCACCAGGGAGGGCCCCAGAGAAGGGATTTATCTGTGTTTTCTGCTCCCAGACCAACCCCTTTCTCTCCTCCCTGCCCTCCCGCCCCGCTTTCCCATCTTCCTCTCCCTCCTGCTGCTCTTCTCCTCATGTCACCTGGTCAGGATGTCGAGACAGCGATGAGCCAGGCTGTGAGTCCCCCCATTGTGACCTGAGCCTCAGGGCCCACCCCAGTCCTGGCTCCACTCTCTTCACCTGTTCCTGTGGCAATGACCTGTGCAATGCCAACTACAGCCACCTGCCTCCCCTGGGAAGCCCAGGGACTCCTAGAGCCCAGGGAGCCCAGGCTGCGCCAGGGCCAGGTAGCCATCTGGGGTGCTGTAGCAGGTGGGGGTTGGGGCCCAGTGGGATGGGAGGTAGGAGCAGGGCCGGTTCTCACCCTATCCCCATGGCAAGCTTCCCTCCTCCTGGCCTTGAGAAGCTGGTTGCCCTGGTGACCGGGAGATAAGGGAGCCAGTGTCCAGGGTGGGGGTGGGTCCAGAAGCAGATTTCTGAGGGGGGGAGAGGAGCTGAGAGTGGATCTGGACAAGTCTCACCCAGCTGCGTCCTTGCCTTAACCTGCAGGCGAACCCATCTGGACGGCGCTGGCGCTGTTGGGGTTGTTCCTCCTGTTGCTGCTGGGCACCATCATCGTGGGTACTCCTCCACCCCACCCCGCTCTGGAACCCCAAGTTCTGGCCCCTCTGCAGGTCCCCCAGTGCATGGTCCCAAGGTCTCTATAAGTGGGACCCCATGGCTCCCACAAAGCCTCCTCCCCTCGGCCCACCTGCCTGACCCAAGGCTGTCCTCTGCCCCAGCCCTCCTGCGGAGAAAGGCCTGCAGAGCGCCAGGTGGGCCAGAGCCAGCGCCAGACAGGGGCTGGAGTGGGGAGCTGCCCGAGCTGCCGGAGCTGCGCTTCTCCCAGGTGCCAGGCGGGCGGGAAGGGCAGGAGGGCTCCGCTTGGCACCCTGAGGTGCTGCGGGGAGGAGCCTGGGCTGGCCGAGGCCGCACCAGCACTCTGCCCCCCAGGTAATCCGGGAAGGGAGGCACGCGGCCGTGTGGGCCGGGTGGCTGCAGGGCGAGCTGGTGGCCATCAAGGCCTTCCCGCTGAGGGCTGTGGCCCAGTTCCGAGCTGAGCGAGCTTTGTACGAGCTGCCAGGCCTCCGGCACGACCACATTGTCCGCTTCATCACGGCCAGCAGGGGCAGCCCCGGCCCCCTGCCCTGCGGCCCCCTGCTGATACTGGAGCTGCACCCCAAGGTGAGGACGGGGTGTGGGGCTGTGGGGGCGTGTGGATGGGGCTGGATGGCAGCAGATTCTCTCCAAACTCATTCTCCTGGTTTTGATGTTCTTTTCTCCAAAACATTAAAAATTATTTCTATTGTTCTCTCTTTACTATTACGCAAGCCGAGCTGGCAGTGACTGGTAGTATTTTTAATTCATAAACTCTAGATAAGGAAGGAAAGAAATCAAAATGATGCAGAGTCCCCACCACGGTTAAGGAAATACCTCCCTGCAGAGCCCTGCAGGCTCATGGTCTATTCATTCAGCAAAGCCGGACGAGCTGTATGTCAGCCGCTGTGCCCTTAGGAAAACACACCCAGCTCCGCCTTTTGGGTTTTAGAGTAGTTGGGGAGACAGACGAGAATCAGGAAAACACAAAAGTAGTGTATGATGTCAAGTATGTTAAGTGCTGAAAGATGGTACTATGAGAATAAGGAGATTGGGGCCCTCCCTGGTGGGGTTCAGCCTCAGGACTGTGAAGCTGCCCACAGCCCCTGCAGCACAAGTTCGATCCCCGGCCAGGGAGGGACCCACAGGGTGCAGCAGACCCCTCCTGTCTCCCTGCTGCTCCCCTCAGCAGTGTATCTCTCCCCACTCTGTCTCCGGTGAGTCCTGTCAGCCCCCCGCACCTCTGACCTACACCCCAGACTCTGTATGCACAGACAAATAAATCTTAAAAAAAAAAAAAAAAGGAGATGAGCCTTGTGGGGAGAAAAATTAGCTAAAAAGATGAAGAGGAAGACGTAGGCAGGGCCCAGGCCACACCCTCAGTGCCCCGCCTCTGAGGCCAGCATTGGGCAGTCCCCTCCGTGACCACTTCAGCCGGGTGGGCCAAGAGGTGCCCCCGCTGCTGTCTCCGTCTCGTTCGAGTCCTCTGAGGCAGGGGAAGGTGCTTAGCAGTGAGTCTTGGGTTCAGACTCTGCTTCTTTCTCCTCAAGGGACGTCCATGAGCGCCCGGTGCTCCCTCAAGTGCCTCATTTGTAAAACGGAGGGGACAGGAGCACCGGGCACCTGGCCTGGATGCGTCTGTGTGTCTGCTGGGTGATGCAGGGGGGCCTGTCAGCTGACCCCTGCTGCCCTGGTGAGCCCACCCAGCCTCGTGGGTCCCCCTCTCCCCTCTGCTTCTCTCAGGGCTCCCTGTGCCACTACCTGGCCCAGCACACCAGTGACTGGAGGGCGTCCCTGCGAATGGCGCTGTCCCTGGCGCAGGGCCTGGCGTTTCTGCACGAGGAGCGCTGGCAGGATGGTGGGTGAGCCTGGGGCCGGGCGCCGTGGCGGCGGGGGCGCGGCTACGTGTCCGGCTCCCCCTGAGCGTGAGGGCGAGGGCTGGGTCTAGAGACGGGCAGACGACCCACGCCCATGGGCCTCGGCGTCCGCAGGCCAGTATAAGCCAGGTATCGCCCACCGAGATCTGAGCAGCCAGAACGTGCTCATTAGGGAGGACGGGACCTGTGCCATCGGGGACCTGGGCCTCGCCTTGGTGCTCCCTGGCCTCCATCAGCCCCCCACCTGCACCCCTACTCCACTCCGAGGCCCAGCGGCCCTCATGGAGGTGAGGATCGGGCGGGTGGGGCTGGCGGTGGGGCGGGTGGAGACGGTGGGGCAGTGCAGGCCCCGGGTCTGCGACACCGCTGGCTCGGTCCCGGGGTGCTGCGGGGCCTCTGTGCAGCAAGGGGTGCCAGAGGGGCGACTCTGGGCCCTTACACCCTGCTCTCCAGGCTGGCACCCAGCGGTACATGGCCCCAGAACTCTTAGACAAGACTCTGGACCTCCGGGACTGGGGTGTGGCCCTCCGGCAGGCTGACGTTTACTCGCTGGCTCTGCTCCTGTGGGAGATCCTGAGCCGCTGCCCGGACCTGTGGCCTGGTGAGGACGGGTACACGCCCCCCCATCTAGACCCACCCCCAGGCTCCCCGACCCCATCCCCGCCCTTCCCCTATCTCAACCCGCCCCCTAGGCCCCGCCCGTCCAGACCCACCCACCTTCTGACCAGGGCACACAGCCCTTCTCCACCTTGGCCTTTCCACACGGAGGCTCCAAGGGCTACCACGTACCTTTCCCCAGACCACAGGCCGCCACCCTTCCAACTGGCCTATGAGGCAGAACTGGGCAGCGCCCCCAGCACCAGCGAGCTGTGGACCCTGGCGGTGGAGGAGAGAAGGCGCCCGCGCATCCCACCCACCTGGCACTGCTTTGCCACAGTAAGAGGCCACGGGGCTGGCGGGTGGGCTGGAGACCTGGTGGCCTGGGCATGGGCTTCAAGAACTTGTCCTCCAAGGCCACCCAGCTACTCCGACGTCCCTTCAGTCCCCACCCTCGAGTTCATGCGCACGGCTCAGGGCGAGCCTCAGTTCACCTCACACAGCCCGTTTCTGAGACTCACGCTTTCCTCTGCTCAGTCTCGCCTAGTCTATCTGTCTTCTCTCTACCACCAGTCCTGTTCCTCCGTCCCCTCCTCCAGGAAGCCCTCTCGGCTTGGCTGAACTTGGCCTGCAGCATGTCTCCTCTCCTGGTATACTGACATTCAGTCTAGTAATGCCTCACCCGCCCTACACATCTGTGTTCCTGCTTTGACCCAGTAATGGCCCTAGGAGTAAAGGCTCAAGGCCTCCACACCAGTGAAATTTCAGAGGCTGCCTAAATGGTATCCTCACAGAAAGCCCCTTCCCCTGCCACCTGGCCTGAACTTCCACTGCACAAGCTTCTGCTGGGCTTGATAACGGGACCCGGTTACCTGAGAGGAAAGGGAGAAATTTCCCATCAGCCTATATTAAGTAGTAATCTGAACGAGCTCCTCAGAGGATAAGATGAGGCCTTTGGAAGCCACCCAGAGAGCAGGATGCAGAGGGGAAGGGAGGGAGGTCCCAGAAATGGGGAGTGGCGGGCACTTTCTAACTGAGGGGACTGCTTGGGGGGCCACCCAGGATCCTGGCACCAAGCCTGCCTCCCATCGTTCCTCTCAGGACCCTAGTGGCCTGAGGGAGCTGCTGGAGGACTGCTGGGATGCAGACCCCGAAGCGCGGCTGACGGCTGAGTGTGTGCAGCAGCGGCTGGCGGCCCTGGCCTGTCCTCAGGAGCTCCCCTCCGCGGAGGGCGGTGGGTACAGCTGCCCACCTTCCCACCCCAAAGACTGACTCGGCTCCAACCCCACCCCAGATTCTCCCTGTCGGTCTCAGCAGGGGCCTGCCATTCAGTGGCAGAAACAAGGCCCTTGCAAGGGGCAGGGACCCTCGACCTGCCTGCCCAGTCTCTCCGTGTCCGAGGTGGCTGATTGTAACCTCTCCGTGTGCAAACACGAACGTGGTGCCTAAGCCTCGCCTGCTCTGAGTGTTTGGGTCCTTCGGAGTGCACCACTCCCGTCGTCCTGACCAGGGGCGGGGCGGGTGTGCACAGGGAGAGACGGCCAGCTCCCTGGCCCCCTACCCTTGGGCCCCTCTGAGAGCCTGGGCTCCGCCTGTCCCTCTTCTTTGCTTTCTCCCGCCACAGCCCTTGTTTGGGGCGATTTCATCCTAGCCACTGATGAATACCGTGGTGCTCAGAGACCCACTTTGACCCGCTTTGCTGGGGCCTGGGGAGTGTCCTCTCTGGAAGCCGGCCGGGGAGGACCTCACAGCACGGAACGCTGGAGCTGGGTCTTGAATGAGCCGTTTTCCAGCAGTGTTGGGGGACGAAGGGCACTTCTGGCCGTGGTACCGCGCAGGGTAATAGGGACGTGACCTGGGCACCAAGAGTGTAGGGCGTGGGGTGGGGAGAGAGGGGAGATGATGTGGAGGCTGTGGACGAGGCCCTGTGAGCCGTGGTGAGAGCTCCCTTCATCTCTTTCTTTTTTAAAAAAGATTTATTTATTTATGCATACAAGAAGTGGGGTGTAGGTCAGAAGTGGGGGGCAGTAAGACAACTCACCAGAGACAGAGTGGGGAGAAGTACTCTGCTGAGGAAAGCAGCGGGGAGACAGGAGAGGTCTGCTGCCATGTGGTCACCTCCAGGGCCGGGGATCGAACTCGCACTGAAGTGGCTGTGCCTTAACCCACTGTGCCAGCAGAGAGGACCAACCCAGCTCAATTTATTTATTCTTGTTTTTTTATAGTAGTGAAGCCAAGTGCATTATTTTTTTTAAAGATTTATTTATTTATGCATACAGAACTGGGGTACAGGCCAGAGTTGCAGGGGCAGTGAGAGGATCCACCAGAGACAGAGTGGGGAGCAGAACAGGCAGATGGACGAAGTACACTGCTGAGGGGAGCAGCGGGCGGGTCAGGAGAGGTCTGTGGCGCCATGTGGTCACCTCCGGGGCAGGCGGGATCGAACTCATGCGGAAGTGGCTTCAGTCTCTCAGTGCAGTGTTTCAACCCGCTGCGCCACCAGGGAGGGCCGCATTATTTTTTTTTTAGCAGTTATTTTTTTTTTAACATCATTCTTTATTTTGTACATTTCTTCATCTCAGTTGTGATCCCCATGGGCTTCCCACCAACACCAGCTCAATTTCTCGCCGATGCCCTTGGCAAGTTTCTTCCTCATCCTGTTTGGAGGGTTGATTCAGGCTGAGAGAAAAAAGACAACAGGTCGTAGGTTTAGTGGACACTAGGAGGTGAGCATGGCTTTACTGGCCACTCTACAAACGGTGCCCTTGCAACAGTGCTGGGGTGACCCCTTACCCCTCTAGCCTGGCTGTCCTTAAATTCCAGAGTCACTCGATCCCCGGCCAGGGAGTGACCCCAGGGTGCAGCAGACCTCTCCTGTCTCCCCGCTGCTCCCCTCAGCAGTGGATTTCAGTGGATCTGCCTGTTCTGCTCCCCACTCTGGGGAATGCTCTCACACACACCCCCAACACACACACACCTTTGGCCTCCACCCCAGGACTTCTGTGCATAAATAATAAAATAAATAAATCTTAGAAAAAAAACAACTCAAAGTCTGAGAAACACGAGGCGCCTAAGGAGGCCTAGTGACTAGTTGTCATGGAAGATACTGGGCAGCATCCAGGGACAGGACAGCACAATGAGCAGTCTGATTTGTGATAGACACGATTCATTAAGGTGACAAACATGTGTTAAGGGAGAGCTGGGTGTGGGCAATATGAAAAACTCGACATTACCTTCTCAATTTTTGGGCAATATGAAAAACTCGACATTACCTTCTCAATTTTTCTGTAAATCTAAATGAGTCCTTAAAAAGACAAGCTTATTTTTAAGAAACCAAACAACTACAACTATCTCCAAAACCCAGAAAGGCCATAAATACAAAAAAGGGCGACTGTGGTAAGCTTTTACAATATCTAATTGCAGTAATTTTGAGTAGGTATGTTGTTATTTGTTGTATAGAAGACATCAGGGACATAAAAGCCAGAAAACCTAGGTTACAATCTTGGTTCCCCTGTGAACTCTTAGGAGTTAAGAACCTTAATTTTCTCAGTAAGTTGAATGAATGATTCTCAAAGTAATTCCCAGCCCTGTAATTCCATAAGTCTATGAAATCACAGGCTTCTAAAGAAAAATCCAGCAATGAGGATTACTTCACTAAACCCAGTGTTTGCCTAATATGGTCTCCCTGTGATCTGTGACCTCATGGTGATGGAGATGCAAACACACTTTCCAGAAAATTGAAAATATCCAACCATGAGTCGAGGTGAACTAAAGAAGGGGAAGCTGTGGTTGGAGAGGTGGACAGTGAGAAGACTGAGTTTTTACTATCTGCCTTTTCTTTAACCTCTTGAATTTTCAACTTTTTGCATATTTTATCTATTAAAATTAAATATTTAGTCATTACTCTCAAAACCTATGCCTAGGGGAAGAAGGTGAGAGGATTTACCCAGGACTAAGTGGGGAGCAGAACAGGCTGATTGACTGAAACACCCAGCAGGGAGACAGGAGAGGCCTGCGGCGCACTGTGGGTCACTTCCCTGCGGGGGATCGAACACATGCTGTCGTGGCTACTGGCAGCTTCAGAGTGCTGAGACTTAATCTCTTGTGCCACAAACAAAAATTTAATATTACTGTATGACATGATTAACATAGTAGTTTTCTTGAGTCTCAAATGTCTCTGATACAAATAGGGAAAAGAGAAGTTTAATATCAGGTTGGTATGAGAAGTAGGCAATGAAGAAAATACATGCTTCATGCTATGTTGTTACTTAACATATGCTTCATTTCAAAACTTTTGCCACTCACTCTAGTGTAGAAATAAAATATTTGCAAATCTGGAATTCACAACTCATTTTTTAAAACTTCATATGTTGCAATGATGGAAGACACATAGGAAGTTGTAAATTTTGTAGCATCCTTTGTGCCCTTCAAGCAAGGTTATTCTTTTCAACTCCAAGGGCTAGTCCCAGACTCCTCTCCTACTACACTGGGCTAAGTTAAGTCCTGCCCAAGGTCAGTGCCTCCAGCTATAAACTGGAAACCTTCACTTCCTGGTCAGTTAGGAACATTGTTTCTTCAATTACCCCTTCTGTTCCGGCAACATCAATTCTTTTTGAACTAGATTATTCCCATCAAGTTACCAATATGCCTTAAACTCTTCCATCCCAGAAAGACCTTCCTGGGCCCTCCCAGGTGGCCCAACAGTTTGGGACACAGCCTGCAAGCCAGCCGGAGCAGCTTCAGTGAGGATCCCAGCCCCAGAGCTGACCCGCAGGGCGAGGCAGACCTCTCCTGACCCGCCCGCCCGCTGCTCCCCTCAGCCGTGGACTTCCTTGATCCATGTATTCTGCTCTCCTCTCTGTCTCTGGTGAATCTTCTCGCCCCCCACACCTCTGGCCTGTACCCCAGTTCTTGTGTGCATAAATAAATACATTTTTAAAGAGCAGAAAGAAAGCACTTCCTAGACCGCCCATCCTCCAAGAATGACTACTGTGCTCCATTTCTCTGCCTTTTTAATTTGCCACCACTCCTTGGAAGAATCGTTGCTATCTTCACATTCTCATTTCTCATTCTCTCCTCACTGTGCCTCAGGAAAAAATTCCATCTCCACCATGTAATTAAAACTGCTCTTTAAAAGTTCACTATCCTTGCAAAATCCAAAGAGCAATTCAATTCTCAGTCTGCGTCCTACATAATTCAGCAGCAGCATCTGACACCTTTGATAGCTTCATCCTTGAACCCTTTCTCTATATTCTCTTCTGATTTTCCCATCCCTCACTGGCCACTTGTTTTATAGCCCTTCTTGCTCTTCTTTCTGTTTTTTTTTTTTTAATTAAAATTTTTAAAAGATTCATTTATTATGCATACAAGAACTGGGGTATGGGCCAGAGGTGCGGGGGTGAGAGGATTCACCAGAGACAGAGTGGGGAGCAGAACAGGTGGATCCACTGAAACACACTGCTGAGGGGAGCAGTGGGGAGACAGGAGAGGTTGGGGGTGCCATGTGGGTCACGGAACTTGTGCTGCAGTGGCTGTTGGATAGCTTGATAGTACTGAGACTTAATCCATGTGCTACAGGAGAAGCCCAAGGCAACATTTATTTTATTGTGGTCTAGCCCAGGGCTTAGAACAGTACCTGGCTAACTTGAGAAATATTTGTAGAATGAACGAACAATAAATACACACTATATAATTACTGATTTAGTGAATGAGCTAAAATGAGTTCTAAAATTCACCTGAGGGGCCATTCCTGGTGGCATAACAAGTTAAAGCGCAGCACTAGGAAGCTATCTGCACCTACTGAGGTGACCCACAGGGCGCGGCAGACCTCTTCTGTCTCCCCGCTGCTCCCCTCAGCAGTGTGTTTCAGTAGTTCTTCCTGTTCTGCTCCCCACTCTGTCTCTGGTGAAACCTCTCGCCCTCTGTTCCGCTGACCTACACCCTAGCTCTTGTATGCATGAGTAGATAAACTAAATCTTTAAAACATTTTAAATAAACAAAAATGTACCTTGTTAAAACAATACACTTAGCGTATAGCAGACATGCTATGCATGATTGTCTCATCAAGTACACATGCCGTGGCCACTACTTGGCGGTCCAAGTGGTGAAATAACTTACCCTGCGGAAGCTGGGGTTCTGGGGTTCTGAGTCCAGGTCTGTCTGACTCCAGGACCACCATGTCTGTTCCTTCACTCATTGATTCATTCTTCCATGCGTCATTGCAGTTATTCATTTACTAGTTTATTCATTAACAGCCTCCTCTATCCTGGCACTGTGTGAATTGTGAAGTACTAATGGGAAGTCCCTGTTTTCAGGCACCTTATAGTTTACTGCAGGAGGCTGATATTAATCAAGTAACTACTGACTAATGGATTATTTTAAAGGCAAGATTTCACCTTTTCATAGGAAACTCATCTGTCTAGGGTGTTGGGGAGAAGGATCACCTGAAGAAGGGTTGCTGGGGGTTGTTTACTGCTGGTGAATAAGCAGGAGCTGAGTGGAGAGAGGTGGGGAGAGCCCTCTGGGCTGAAGCCTCTCCTGTAGAGGAAACCAAGGTTTTCTGGAAGGATGAAAGAAGCCTGGAGCTGGAGGGCCTGCCAGGGGGAGCAGCATGAGGGGTTACTAGACAGGTGGCTGGGTCACACCACTGTGGACATTACAGTAAGACTTGCACTATGTCTTTGTTGGGTGGGTTGAGGCAGCAAAGTCACCCATTCTTGGTAAGGATGGAAAGGATCTCGCTAGATGGTCACTCATCAGTAGCTATAAAAAGTAAAAATAAGTAAAATGATAAATACGCACGATTATGTATTATAACTTTTTAAAGGTTTATGTATTTATTCATACAGAACTGGGGTACCAGCCAGAGGTGCAGGGGTGGTGAAAGGCTTCACCAGAGACAGAGTGGGGAGCAGAACAGGCAGATGGACGAAGCACACTGCTGAGGAAGCAGCGGGCAGGTCAGGAGAGGTCTGCCGCGCCATGTGGGTCACCTCTGGGGCAGGGGATTGAACTTGCACTGAAGCAGCTGTGGCTAGGGAGGGCCCATATGTATTATAATTTTTAAAAATTTATTTTTATGCATACAAGAACTGGGGTCTGGATCAGAGGTGTGAGAAAGGGATATATATGAGAGGATTCACCAGAGACAGAGTGGGGAGCAGAACAGGTAGATCTACTGAGATACACTGCTGAGGGGAGCAGCGGGGAGACAGGAGAGGTCTGCTGCACCCCATGGGTCACCTCACTGCCCCAGGATCAAACTGGTGCTGCAGTGGCTGCGGATAGCTTTGTAGTGCTGAGACTTTAACCTCTGCGCCACCAGGGAGCCCCATAATGTTTTTAATAGAAGAAAATTGAAAATAACATGAATGTCCAGTCAGGGGACTGGTTAAATTGATTATGGTACATCATACAAAATAGTAAAATACAGTTGTGAAAAAACTGAGAATACATGCTGTATGAATATGAAAATATACACAAGATATATTAAGCGGGGGTTGCAATTGAACCCTATATGTTTTGCTGTTTTTATGTTTGAAGGGGGTGATATAAAGTGGTCAGTGTTTGCTTGGCTTTAATGAGGAAACCGAAGAAATATATAAGAAACTAACTGCAGGGCTCGTGCAGTTTTGGGGAGGCTGGGTAGAGGAAGAGGAAGATTGGGAGGGAGAGTTTTCACTTAAATCTTTCTTTATCCTTTTGGTTTTTAAGTCATGTGAACGTATTTGACCTATTCAACAAACAGTAATATGTATATGTAAAAATAGTCTAGATCTTTGTCTCAAGGATAGTGCAAAGTCATTAAAGCATATTAAGCAGCACTATCACATCAGATTTGGCTTCAGGAAAAAATTTCCCAGGTTGCAAAGAGGAGAATGAACTGGAAGAGGGCCCAAGAGGTCGCTGACCGTCTGGTTAAGAGGCCGTTGTGAGCTACAAGATACCACTCCAGGGCACCACCCTGGCGATGTTGGTGTCCTCTGCTTAAGTGATTCTGTTTGTGATTTTTTTCCGCCTACATTACAACCATGTTTTCAGCTGTGTGCATTAATGGCAAGAAACGAAACCCCCATTCTGTTGTTCATATTCAGGACAGTATACAATATATATATATTTTATGCATACAGAACTGGGGTACAAGCCAGTGGTGCAGGAGCAGTGAGAGGATTCACCAGAGTCAGAGTGGGGAGCAGAACAGGCAGATCGACTAAGTACACTGCTGAGGGGAGCAGTGGGCGGGTCAGGAGAGGTCTGTGGAGCCCTGTGGGTTCCCCCCGGGGCTAGGGATGGAACTCGCACTGGAGCAGCTGATGTCAGCTGCGATTTAACCGGCTGAGTCACCAGGGAGGGCCCACAGCATGCAGTATTATATGAGATGTGCAGTATTTTGTTGGCAGCTAGGCTTTGTGTCAGTTGAATTGACTCAACTGCAGTCTAACGTAAGTGTGTGAGCATGTTTAAGGTGGGCTAGGCTAAGCTATGATGCTCAGTAGTTTACATGTATTAAATGTATTATTCTCTGCTTATGATTTTCTGCTTTTGATGGCCTTGTCAGGACGCAACCCCATCATAAGTCAGGGAAGGTCTGTAAGTTAACATTGTTGGTCCTGATGTGGAGAAATTGGAGCCCTTTACCATCACTATTAGGACTGTGAAACGGGATCTTCCCTGGTGGTGCAACGGGTTAAGGCGCAGCACTAGGAAGCTGTCTGCAGCCACTGTAGCAGCAATTTGATCCCCTGCCCCAGATGACCCACATGGCCGGAGACCTCACCTTGCCTGCTGCCCACTGCTCCCCTCAGCAGTGTACTTCGTCAATCTGCCCGTTCTGTTCCCCGCTCTGTCTCTGATGAATCCACTCAGCCCCCATACCTCTAGCCAGTACCCCAGTTCTATATGCATAATTTTTTTAAGATTTATTTATTTATTTATGCTTACAGAACTGGGGTACAGGCCAGTGTGGTGGGTGAGAAGATTCACTAGAGACAGAGTGGGGAGCAGAACAGGCGGATCCACTGAAATACACTGCTGAGGGGAGCAGTGGGCAGGTCAGGAGAGGTCTGCCAGCCATGTGGGTCAGCTCCCTGGCGGGGGTTTGAACTCGTGCTGCAGTGGCTTCGGAGAGCATTAACCTATTGCCTCACCGGGAAAGTCCTCATAAATTAATCTTAAAAAAAAAAAAAAGACTTCAAAGAACTGTATGGCCACAAGTAAATGTCTATCCATGTCCATCCAGAATATGTGGAGGAAGTAGTTCCCATTGGGATTAGGAGGAAGCTGGAACGCTGGGGTTCGACTGAGCCCCAGCAGCCCGCGCCTGCCGGTTAGCTCCTCTCCGCGTCGGTCGCTTATCAGGGTGCGCTCAGGCCACAGGTGTTGCACCACCCGACCAGGACCTCGGAGCGCAGGGCTGAGCTCCTCCCGGCCGCCTCGGGGACTTTGCCCGGAAGCCCGCCCCGCCCCCCAGCCGGCCGCTCCCAGCCTCTCCCCGGGCATTGCAGCCGCGCCGGCACCGCCGCGCCCGCCTCGCCCTCCGCAGCCCGCCCCGCCCCCGAGGCCGTCGGGCCCCGCCTCCCCGGAGGGCCGCGTGATCGGCGCGCGCACTCGCCAATCACACGCGGAGAGGCTTCCCAACCGCCAATGAGGTGACAGCAGAGGCGGGTGCTGCGGCAGGGGAGGGGCGACCAGGAAGCGGAGCTGAGCCTGAGGAGGACGCGTCGAGCCCAGGCGGGGGTGTAAAGGTGACCGGGCATCTGGAGCCCCCAGTTTCTTCCCTTCCCCACCCCCGAGTAAGGGGTCCCTTCGCAGCTGGGAGCCAGGAAGCCCTGTCCTAGTTCACGGGCAAGGGGGTGTGTCTACCTAGCGCGGAAGCGTTTGAGGGTCTTTCTGAGCCCCTCAGGTTTGTTTAAGGAGCTTCCTGGTTTGGGGGGCGGTCCAGCTCCGACGGAGTCCGTGACGGGGAAGGGGCGACGTGGTGGAAGCAAGAGGCTCCGGAGAGGGGCTCCGTGGCTCGGGTGCCAACAGTTGGAACAGAGGACCCGCGAAGACGGGTGCCGGGCAGCTCTGCGCCCCGGGGCGCGGGAGGCTGGGGCTCGCTGGGTCCCGGAGCCCTTCCTGGCCTGGCGGTCAGCTCTCTGCCTCGTTTCTCTCCCCAGGCTGCAGGGAGCCCCTGAGGATGTGGAACCCCAATGCCGGTAGGTGTTCGGGGCAATCTCTGCCTCAGCCCACCCCCTTTTCGGAGGGCTCCCGACAGCAGTTTCTGTTTCCAACTACTTCTGCCTCCCCACCTGAGCACCCCCTAGGTGACAGCTGACCAAGGTCACCCTTCCCAGCGCTCACCCCGCCCCCAGCGCTCACCAGCCCTCCCGGGACATCACCTTTTCTCTCTCCTGGTCAGGTTGTCTCTCCCACCCTCCGCTCCCCCTCCTCACGCTTCCACTGAGTGAGAGAGAGAAAGTGAATACTCTTGTGGGTGTGTGTTATTTTTTTTTGTTGTCAGGCTCTTGGGGAGATTAATTTTAATTTATTCTTTTCTTCTTCCACCAGGACCGAATCCATACCCCCCTAACGCGGGGTGCCCAGGAGGTTCCAATCCCGCCTATCCACCTCCACCTGTCAATCCTCCCCTTCCTCAAGGCCCCTTTCCCACTCCCCCAGGAGCGCCCCAGGGGAACCCAGCTTTCCCCCCAGGTGGGCCCTATCACCCTGTGCCACAACCAGGGTATCCAGGATGCCAGCCCGTAGGTCCCTACCCTCCGCCATACCCACCATCTGCCCCTGGCATGCCTCCTGTGACTCCCTTGGCTCCAGGAGTAGTAATGGACAAGAAAATGCGGAAGAAAATGAAGAAAGCGCATAAGAAGATGCACAAGCACCACAAACATGGCAAGGTCAGTGCCTCCTGGAGCCTGTGTGTACGGTGGGGGTGGGTGAGTCTGTAGTCTGAGAATATGGTGTTCCTCAGTTCTTCCTTTACCAAAAAAAAAAAAATATATATATATATATATATATATATATAGTATTTATTTATGTGTACAAGAACTGGAGTGTAGGCCAGAGGTGCAGGGTTTGGTTGTAGGTGGTGATGAGAGGATTCCCCAGAAACAGAGTGGGGAGCAGAAGAGGTGCTGTGGGCAAGACCGGAGAGGGCTGCTGTGCCGTGAGGGTCAGCTCCCTCCCTGGGATCCCACTCTTGCTGCAGGGGCTGGTGATAGCTTCACAGTGCTGAGACTTTAGCCGCTGTGCCACCCGGGAGGGCCCTGGTTCTTCCTCTTTTTAAAAACTCTGACTGGGAAAAAACTTATCACCTTAATATTACACTAACTGGGCCTTTTGTCTGCCAGGGCCTGACTGATTCTGACTAGATATCAGAATCAAAAGCCCTTCTTGTCTGCCTTTTTTGTCCCAAAACTCTTGCTCACCTCACCCCACCCCATGCATATTTTAGCAAGTCAGACACACACAGACTGAGATGGTCCAAATGGCAATTAACGGGGTCAGTCCTTTCACAAAGCAAAGCCTGTCTAATTATTCATAGTTAATAATATGGTCCTGCTTCCCTGTTCTTTCTCCCAGTGTTCAGGGTGGGCCTTTTTGTTCTACCAATCAACAGGGAAACTGAGGACAAGAGCAGTCAGTGATTCTTCGCCTCACACAAAACCCTAATTTCAAGCCTAAATTCAGCCCCAAGGCTAATTTTGTTCATGCTAGAGAAATGTTAATTAGGAAGGGTGAAAGTAACTCTCTGGAAGAATTGAGCCAACCTAAATCCTGAGGACTTAATTTATATTTGAGTGCCTCGTGTTTATTGCCCCTGGCTTCGGGCTCGTTCCTGAATCTGGGTCTTTGGTAAAAGTCTGAGGAAAAGCAAAGGTGAGATTGAGATTGAATTTCTTTAGGTAGAAATTGTCCTAGAGAGAATAAAAAATACATTACTTGAGGGTATATAATTTTTAAAGCTTTTTTACTTTTGCACACTGGAACTGGGGTACTGGCCAGAGGTATGGGGGTGAGAGGATTCCCCAGAGACAGAGTGGGGAGCAGAACAGGCAGATGGACTAAAACACACTGCTGAGGGGAGCAGCAGGGAGACAAGAGGGGTCTGCTGTGCTATGTGGGTCCCTCCCTGCCTGGAGATCGACCTCATGCTACAGTGGCTGCGGACAGCTTCATAGTGCTGCACTTTAACCTGTTGCGCCACTTGGGAGGGCCCTAAAATGTATTTTTAATCCCAGTTGTGGGAGCACGTGAGTAAAGAACTTGGGCTAAGAGTCACCCAGCTTTCTCTCCCTCCTTCCCTTCCCTCTCCCAGCAGGGGCTTAGAAACGAGTAGAGTAGCGATAGGTGGACACACATGGCTGTTTCTACTCACTTCCCTTAGATCGGTAGCCGCTAGGAGTTAGTCATGCAGCTAATCAATAAGCATTTCTAAGGTAGCAGCCGTTTCCTAGCACTGTACTATATTTGGGCCTACGGTTTATCCTGGCCTAGGCACGATCAGGCAAAGAAGGTTGCAAACTTGCTCCAGATGCTCTGTATCCAGATGCTTCCTGCAGTGATTTGGTTTGGTGCTGAAGGAAATTCTAGCTTTTGCTGTTTAAGACGGTCCCAGTTCAAGACACCTGACTTCGGATGGAGGGGTAGGGTGCCAGAGAGTGGCCCTGGGAGTGATCAGAGTTCGTTGGATTGATGCTGTCTCCTCTCCCTCTTCCCCTGCAGCACTCCTCCTCCTCCTCCTCCTCTTCCAGCAGTGACTCTGACTGAATACAGGGCTGGACCCTTCCCTCAAGTCTCTCCAGCTCTGCTCTCCCATGAAGCTTCAGATACCACCTTGTACTGGGGGAAATTCACTCTTGTCTTCTCCCTGGACTTCCCCACCACCACCATCTGAGCCTCGCTCTGTTCGGTCATAATTAGCTAGGGAAAACCAAGCAAGAGTCGCCATGGACTAACAGGGCCCATCTTGTCACTGCTTGGTTAGAACTTACAACTGATGAGTTTAGAAGAGAACTGTTTTGTGAAGATGGTGAGAGCTTTGCATTAAATGCTGAAGATTCTAAGATCTGTAAAATGTGATTTTGTACTTTCTTTTTTAATACTTGTGGTGGAGGAGATGTGGAAATTTAATTATGTTGAAATAACTAACCTGCTCTCTTTTCTAATGATGGTTCACTGGTGATTTAGTGCCAGACCCATTTCCCAGAGGCCTCTTGCTGATGGCAAGGTTGCGGGAAAGTGGAGTCCTTTGGTTGATGAACTTTGATTGCCGTTTTGGAACCCGATCTCAGGTGCTCACTGCTTCGTCCAAATAAAGTTGTTTCTCCTGGTCTCTGTTCGCCTGTGCTGTTACCTTGGTTGGACCCAGCACATTCAAATGGCTTTTGCTGTTCATCCACAGACCCTTTAAAGTGAATTGATTTATAGTAAGGACTCAGTATCAATGGACTCACTGTCCATGTTTCTTTAAAAAAAAAAAGATTTACTTATGCATATAAGAACTGGGGTGTAGGCCAGAGGTGTGGGGGGTGAGAGCGAGAGCATTCCCAAAGACAGAGTGGGGAGCAGAACTGGCAGATCCACTGAAACACACGCTGAGGGGAGCAGCGGGGAGACAGAAGTCAGCTGAGTCATGTGGGTCACTCCCTGGCCAGGGATTGAACTGGTGCTGCAGTGGCTGGTGATAGCTTGATAGTGATGAGACTTTAGCCCCTGCACTATTAGGCTTCTTAAGTGGAGGGAATCTTCAAAATCTAGTCAGGCTAAGTGGAATAAATTCTGTCTTCTCTTTTATGAATGGTTATAGGTCTTTAATGTAGGTTATTTGCTACAGATGTTCTCAACCCTGACCATCAACTATCAGAGAGTAATTTAGGGCTTTGTTCCAAGTGTATTAAATGAGATTCTAAGGATGGGGCCCTATAAATCAGTGTTTTTTTTTTTTTTTTAAGATTTTTTTATTTATGCATACAGAGCTGGGGTATAAGCCAGAGGTGCAGGCGCAGTTGAGAGGCTTCACCAGAGACAAAGTGGGGAGCACAACAGGCAGACTGACGAAGTACACTGCTGAGGGGAGCAGCGGGTGAGCTAGGAGAGGTCTGTGAATCACTTCCAGGGCGGAGAATTGACTTACACTGAAGCAGCTGCGGCCAGCTTGCAGTGCTGTGTCCTAACCCGTTGCACCACCAGAGAGGGCCTAAATCAGTGTTTTAAAGAAACTGGATAATTGTGGTGCACTGTGAGGAGAGAGGGCCCCTGGTTTACTACATGCAGTGAACAGTCCTCAAAGGCATCTCGTGGAAGGAATTCATACAGCTACTATAAATGCAGAGGGATATCAACCTAGAACGAGAAATGGAAGAGTCAGAGATGACTTCACAGAAAGAGTGATGTTTCAGCTACCTCTTGGGCTTTGAATGTTAAAAGTATGAGTCAAAAAATGAAAGATTTACCAACTGGATGGCAGAGAGGAGCTGGGAAAGGAGGTGTTTTAGGCATAGCGTCAAACTGTGCGTCATCTTCGGGAGCCGCAGGTATCGCAGCCAAGCTAGACTGAGTTCCTGAGTTGTTTATCAGAAATACTTTCTGGGAGCTGAAGCTACAAAAATGAATAAGACAGTCCCTGCCCTTCAAGGACCTCCAAGATCTAACAGAGCCAATGGTCATGTGATATGACTATTATCTGAGTCAGGGAGCGGGGTGTCCAAGGGAGGAGTGAGTGTCACTGGGAAAATGAGCTAGCTAGGTCTGGCTTGGGCCTTGGGACTAATAGAAATGTCCCAGTTGATAAATAATATCACTAATGTTGAACATTTGTTATGTGCCAGGGCCTGAATCCTTTTTTTTTTTGTAAATGATTTAGTTATTTATGCATACAAGAACTAGGGTACAGGCTAGAAGTGCAGGTGGAGAGAAGATTCACCAGAGCCAAATGCAACCACAACTACCATATTCTTCTGTAAACTCTCAGAGATAGTCTGCATAACAAGTCCTTTTTATTTCTAGCTCACATTGCTCTTACTACCCCTCCCCCCCTTTATCAGAAGGGAATATGCTAAGGCCTCATTCTGACTTATGTTTTCTCTTTTAATCATGGAGTTGATTCCGTATCAGTGAGAGTATGTAACATTGTTTTAATAGCATTTATTCAATCTTTTATTACCAGAATTTTAAATGGTTTCCAGTCTCACAATACATTTAACTGCTGCAGTGAACATAAACATTTTGGTACATATATAACTTTGCTGGAGGTTGAAAGTTGGAAGCCCAGTGCTATATCCGACTGGAAGACTTTATTTTTTTTTTTAAAGATTTATTTATTTATTCATACAGAACTGGGGTACAGGCCAGAGTTGCAGGGGCAGTGAGAGGATTCACCAGAGAAAGAGTCAGGGGCAGACAGGCAGATTCACGAAGTACACTGCTGAAGGAAGCAGCGGGCGGGTCAGGAGAGGTCTGCCACACCATGTGGTCACCTCCGGGGCAGGCAGGGATCGAACTCATGTGGAAGTGGCTTTTGATTCTTAGTGCTGTGCTTTAACCCACTGCACCACCAGGGAGGGCCCTGGAAGACTTTATTTTTTGTACTGAACAGCAACCATTTTCAGTAAAGATTCAGATTTCAAGCTGGATACCATAGCAACAGTGGGCCCATATTCCTGAAGGCAGAAATCCTGGCTCTGAGTGCTGGGCATTCCTTATAGGTGGTCCTGTGCTCTAGTCTTATGGAATTTGCAGCTTCCTCTTACTTTTCTCTAGGCCAGCTTCTTCCAGTTATATTACTTGCCCAGCTCCTGAGAGCAATGGCTTTTTGTACTGTTTGTGCATCACTATGGGACACTAATGGCGGGGTTTTCATATGTTTTTTTATCTTAAGTTTTCACCAGCCTGTGTCCATGAGGGTCTGGGATTCTCCCACTCTCTTCTTACTGAAAAACTAAGTATAGTTCTTACCAGTTGAGAATGGGAAGGACAGGCATCCATGAGATCTACCATATAAATTAAGCAGCATTTCTCTTCAGTCTAGAAGGATGCCAGGGTTAAGCAGAATAACTGCCAAAGCATGAATTCTAGTGCTCAGATGCATGACCTTCTGGTCAAGAGTCTGATCTCATATTGTTGGAGCACTGATGGTATCCCTAGGGGTTGTATTTTTCTATGTCTGCTGTGGCTGCACCGAGAAAGGAGGCATATAAAAGTTTCTGCAGAAATGATGATTCCATGTAGGATTTTTGAGATGAGGAAGGCTGGTTTCTCTCAGGGTGTAAAGTGATTTTGAAATGTAAAGAATTTCTTGGGCCCTCTCTGGTGGTACAACGGGTTAAAGCACAGCACTGTGAAGCTTATCACAGCCACTGCAGCGTGAGTTCTGTTGCTGGCCAGGGAGGTGACCCACATAGCGTGGCAGACCTCTTCTTGATCCACCCCCTGCTACCCAAAGCAGAGTATTTCAGCCAGTCTGCCTGTTGTGCTCCCCACTCTGTCTCTGGTAAATCCTCTTACCCCCACACGTCTGGCCTGCACCCCAGCTCTGTATGCATAAATAAATAAATCTTTAAAAAAAAAAGAATTTTTTTTGAGTTTGTCCCTGCCCTGTGTTCCTGAACGACAGGACACACATATTTGGGCTAAGGAATTCTTTCTCTTGGGAAACAGTTTCTTGATAAATAATAAAAAAATAAATACAAATCAACAAAATTAATACAAGATACAAATTGGGGACTATCAAGCATGGGGTGAATTTTGACCTAGTTCACTAACTTTTTGGAATCATCTCCAAAGATTGCTTTCTGGCCAAGGCAAGTTCACACTCTTGACTAGAGAAGAATTTATTGATTCATAAAACGATCAGGTATAGCTCTTAAATGCATGCTATTTTTCTCTTCCAAAACCCCAATAGAAACCATGTTAACTGAGAGTGATGTTATTTTAGCAACTTTAATTTGATCTTTGTTTTATTTCCCATGATTTCAAGGATAGTAGAGTCCCAGGGGCACAAATAACTGCAAAATTTGTGGTTAATCAGTACTTCAGTCCAGACTTCACAGTAAACCTTATGTTTGCTTTTTTTCTGGAGTTTTTAAAAAATTTATCTATTTTTAGATTTTTAAGATTATTCATGCATAGAAGAACTGGGTGTATGCCAGAGGTACAGGATGTGAGAGGATTCACCAGAGACAAAATGTGGAGCAGAGTAGGCGGATTTACTGAAATACACTGCTGTAGGGAGCAGCAGGCGAGACAGGAGAGGTCTGCTGCCCCCAATGTGGGTCAGGTCCCTGGCTGGGGATCGAACTCAGGCTGTAGAGTTGATAGAACTGAGACTCAACCCCTAGACCATCAGGGAGGCCCTATTTTCTGGAATTTCTTAACTTTTCTTCTCTTTCAGTATTTGGTGTGCCTCTTGCCCTTGCCAAATTATAGACTTTTAAAATTTCTATCTTATTTCTAATAATAATAATATTTGTGGAAGGAAAAAGCAAAAACCTTATTTTCTACCTCAAAGGTATTTCCTCTTCAGATGACCCCACTGAATTGGGGGGGGGGTGTCCAATAAAACCTGACTAACATTAAGACCACAACCGACACCCAAAGGGCTTGCAGTCCAATAACAAATCTGTATTTGTTTGCTCATTTTGTCTTTTTCCCTACCAGTAAGCTTTGTAAAAAGTTTTCATATGGAAATTTACAGATATATACAAGAGTAGAAAAATCAATGTGATGAACTCTCATATCCCCATCAACTAGCTTTAGTAACGATCAATATCTTGCTAGTTTTGTTCCATTCGATGTATTTTTCCAATTTTTGTCATAAAAAGTATTTTTAAAGTTTAAAGAATACAATGGTCACCCACAAACCTAACATATACACTCAACAGCTGTTAATGCTTTACCCTATTTGTTTTACTGATATACCTATATGAGCCATTTAAAAGTTCCTTGCATACAGAAAGAACTGTCACTCTTAAATTTTCATTAGCATTTTTCCTAACTACAATTCCATTAGCACACTTAAGAAAATGGCAATCCTATTTAATAAGTTAATATTCAGCTCATGTTTGAATTTTCTCAACTGTTCACACGCTTTCATATTTTTTAAAAACCGTGATCCAAACAAGGACCACACATTACATTTGATTGCTTTGCCTTTTAAATTTCTCCTTCTCAAGTACATTGCCTTTTTGAAGAGACTAGTTTATAGAATGTCCTACAGTCTGGATTTCTTGATTTTTCTCCTTGTAGTGTAATGCATTTAACTTGTTCCTTCATCCACTGTGAATTTCCTGTAATTGCAAATTCCTTCAGAAGATTTGGTTTAAGATGAAACACTTTTAGTAAAAACACTTAATAAATGATTCTACTTCTTAATTGCATCCTCATCTAGGACCACATGCCAAAGTTATGTTCCTGTTAGTAACACAGTGTTTGATCATTTGGGTAAGGTGGTAACTATGAGATCTCTCCATTTGAAGCTTTTTTTTTTTTCCGTGTGCGATTTGCAAATAATCTGACTGGTGAAATTAATAATATTCTATTATCAAACAACCTTTTCCTTACAATTTTGATGACAGATGACATTTGCCTGACTTACTTCATTTTAGGTTGCAGATCAATCTTCTTAACCTTTTTTATTATACATTTTCCTTCCACATTTATTTGCTAAAACTCTTTAAAAAGAAAAACATTTTCCCTTATCCTCTAAGGCTGAACAACTACAGTTCGTCCTAAAAAGTGTAAATGCCTAACTCCATCTAATTATCAATTTTCCGAGGGAGAGGTTAGTGTAAAAGTTACCTGTAGTGTGGCAAATTAGTGGTGGCTTGTTGTTGTTGTTTTGTATCACTATAGATTTCTGGTTTTTTCCATCTATTCTTACTCTCTCCTCACCCATCCCTTTTCCTCTGGTCTCTTTCTTTATCCATGGCGACGGCCAACTCCGCATTTCGCCTGGGCTTCCCATCCAGCCGCTAGGGGCCACTAGTTTCTCCCCTTCCCCCACGCGGCCGCTCTCTCCCGCATTTCGCCATCTGTTTCCAGCTGTTATCTCGCTGGTGCCGAGGCTGCCCACGGAGCCGCTCTAGGCTGTTGGGAGGCCGTCTGCATTGCGTGGGGAGGTTTGGACGACGCAGTCGCCTCGCCGGTCCCCGGGGCGGTTAGCGCTTCCGGGGTCGGAGGGTGCGCGGGGTTGAAAGCGGGCCGCTCCGCCCCGTCCCCCTCCCAGACCAGCAGAGGCAGCAGCCGGAGCAGCCGCAGCCTGC